ATTAGAGGGGTGCCTTTATTAGAGAGGTGTCTGTATTAGAGAGGTGCGTTTATTAGAGAGGTGTCTGTATTAGGAGGTGTTTGTATTAGAGAAGTGTTTGTATTAGAGGTATTGAAGAGTTATCCGTATGAGAGAGGTGTCCATATTAGAGAGATGTCTATATTATAGAAATCGCCTATTGACTGAATTTATTTCATTTCTGCAGGGGTTTAGATGATAATCTGATAGACAGCTTTCCTGTTTTTAATGACTTCTCTCAAAAGCTCAAGATATTGTAAGTATATGAGGTATATCATATTTCATGTCATATCGCCGCTTGAGTGTTTTAAAAACTAACAACGATGGAATCATCTTATTTAGAAGTCTCCGTGGGAATAATATTAAAGAACTCAAGCTACAAGATTTGAACAAATTCCCAGAATTGGAGGAATTGTAAGTTCACTGTTTACGTCACCAAATTTACATATAAGAATAGCGACTATTGGCATTTTTTTTCTAATCTTGCAATTCTCATTAAAAAAACTACGAAATTGTAATTAAATTAAAATTAAAATATGAAGATTAATCACAAACTATATACATTTTGACTTGTGCTTTATTAATTTTGCATCTTATCAATATTGCTTAGCTATCTCCGAGAATTATTCTTGTGCTTTTGCATCTTATCAATATTGCTTAGCTATCTCCGAGAGTTATTCTTGTGCTTTTGCATCTTATCAATGTTGCTTAGCTATCTCCGAGAATTATTCTTGTGCTTTTGCATCTTATCAATATTGCTTAGCTATCTCCGAGAATTATTCTTGTGCTTTTGCATCTTATCAATATTGCTTAGCTATCTCCGAGAATTATTTTTGTGCTTTTGCATCTTATCAATATTGCTGGAAATACTGTATGTATTCTTATTGTGTTTCTGTTTACTTCAGGCATTTGGGGAACAACAAAATTACCTCGCTACAAGATGGTGTTTTTCCAAATATGAAGAAAATTAAAATATTGTAAGTTGTTTGTTTCTTGAACAAAACACAAACTTTATCCATCTTTGCTTGTAGTGGTATTAGCTGTTCTATCGTTGTCTTAATAACATGGTGACACGCGTTATACTACGAGATAATTATTAACCTTTTTCATTTTTCATTTTTAGAGAAATGAGTAACAACCCCATTGAGAGCATCGCATCGCATGCTTTTGAGAAACTGGTGTCTCTAAAAACTCTGTGAGTAAAGTATATTACGTTTTTAGAGAAATATTTTCGGTCGTTCTGAATAAGGGTGTTAGCAGAACCAGGGCGAAACTTCGGTATTGCGGATGGGGGGGGGGGGGAGTGAGCTTGTTTTGCCCGACCAAAAGGACGTCACCGAAGTCGTTCTCGACGGATGAACATTTCAGTCGCTAATTAATATTTCTTCTCCCAAAATTGTTGGCAAGGCGGGGGGATTTCCGGACCGAGCATTTTTCACTAACTTTCAAAATAATTTACCGTAGTTTGTAAAATTTTTCAGTAATATTTTCCGGCGTAAATTTATCAATTTTTTTCCTACAACTATTACTTTTCAATCCAAGACACTCGAATATTTTCAAAATTTGCCTGACGAAATTGTATGGATATACCCGACGAGATAGAGACTGGGGGTGTCACCCCCCCCCCCCCGGTAGTTTTGCCACTGAGAAGGACAGGGCCATGCATGTACCTATTAACTCTGTGATAAGCATTTGATTTGTGCAGCGTTTATAGAAGAGTGCTTCCAGTCTGCCTTTACCAAATACCACAGGTTTTCTCCCGGCGATCGATAGAGCTATATCCAGTATAAATAAAGTTATTTTTTTAACTGAATTTGTTTCTGATTTTTAGATATTTAGACGGTATCGACATTGAAAATCTGCCCACAGTTGGTCTTCAAAATCTAATAACTTTAAGTCTTGATCGAGTACACAAATTACGAACTATTCCCGAAGGCCTGGAAAGGATTGAAAACGTGAAGCTTGCTAAAGAAAAATCCTTCTTATGCTGCAAACTGAAATTTGATAGAATCGGCCCACATTTGACAGGCCCACGCACCAAATTCAACGGAACAACGCGTAGCATGCCCACAACACCCACAAACAGAGCAACTAGAAGCGAGTCTGCAACCCCAGCTGGGTTTGGGAAACGAAAGAAAAGGAGGTCAATATTAACTCTCTCTCCGTCTGCTGCTCCTCCAACGGGTCCGATTAATACAGTCCCTCCGTCCAGACCATTAAATTGCACACCGGAGCCAACGGCTTTTCAACCATGTGAAGATGTCATGGGCGCGGACTGGCTGACTGCTGTTTCGTTTATCATCGCACCGTTTGCACTGTGTGGGAACTTTGTCGTTCTTGTCGTCTTCTTATGTTTGGCAAGGAATTATAATGTTTCAAGATTTTTGGTGACTAATCTTGCTCTAGCTGACTTGAGTATGGGAGTATACTTGCTATCTTTGGTTATTGAATCTGTAATAACCTCCGGAGAATATTACAAGCACGTAGAACGGTTTCAATTTGGCTTGAGTTGCAACGTACTCGGCTTCCTGGCAATGTTTTCCAGCGAGTTGTCCGTCTTTTCATTAACAATGATAACGGTGGAACGCTACTTGACAATCGTATATGCAATGTACCCGCGGTATAGACTGACCATGCGCACTGCAATCATTTGTATGATTATTGGATGGATTGTTGCAATTACAGTTGCAGTTCTACCAATAAGGGGTGTTGGTAGTTATGGCAAAGTTGCAATATGTCTACCGTTCGATACGGACAATGGTGGAGATCTGTATTTATTCTTTGTATTCGGGTTAAATGGTGTAGGATTCCTATTCGTCTGCGCGCTTTACGCTCAAATCTATCGTTCAGTTTTCAGAACCAATAACTCGACTCCGACACGCGGGCACGATTCCAGAGTCGCGAGACGAATGGCGCTTTTGGTTTTCACTGATTTTGCCTGCTTTACTCCAATCGCCATCACCGGCATATCTGCACTACTGGGCAACCCCTTGATCGATGTGAAACAATCAAAGTATTTACTCGTTTTCTTCTTTCCCTTAAACGGATTGTTAAATCCGTTTTTGTACGCGATCATTACAAAGACATTTCGACGAGATCTTGCAGCACTTCTCAAGAACTGTTTTGTATGTGGTGGAACTCTGACCAATTATATATCCAATTTTCCTGGATCGCGATCAGTACAAAGTACGAACGACGTTCTGAATCCGTCCGCCCGACCATCATTAGACTTCAACGCCATGGGCGGCTTTCATAGTCTGGGAAATATTAGGGGCTCAAGAGAGAACCCCGTATCAGCTTCGTTCTCAAAGTCAGAACCGAATTTGGTTAAGTTTAATGATGAAGCATTAAATTCGTAATGTGTATATTTAATAGTTGGTGGTTAACAAGATTGTAGTCTACAGACAGTTGTCGAGTGACAAGATAATGTCTTCTGAAGTAATAGAATTGAGATATATAATCTTGAATTATCTGTGCCAGTGTAGATCGTGGCAATAACAAGAAAGCTTCGCATTGATAGGGATACAACTACCTGAAAAATACAAGGAGAACTTCGACGAGCGAAGTCCCTTCGTCGGGATGTTACTATTAAGTTAGTAGCGGGAAGGGACTTTTTAAAAGGTAGTTGTATCCCTATATCAATCCAAAGCTTTCTCTATACGTTTCTGCATTTTTGAAGGTGATTGCAGTAACCCATGACAAACGTAAGGTAGTATATATTTATTCGGATAATTATTAAATCAAATGCAATCACAGGGAGATTGTGCTGATGACTCATTCAAATATAATGCATTGTAATATAGTCAAGTCATTCAGATCTACGGTAAAGTTTGCAAAAAAATTACTATTACAAAATTGTGCACAAAGTGCTATTATTGTGTTGAAACAATAGAACTATTGTTCTAGTACAATATAGTATTGTGCTGGAACAATGAAGTCATTGTTCTGAGACAATACCATTGTTCTAGCACTATAGCCGCACGGGCACTGGACATACAGTATATAAAGCTTTAGAAACAGTCATTTAAATGTATGTATTTCAAATTATGAAAATAATTTATTGTAGATCGATAGAAAGTGTATATGGTTAATTTTGAAAATCTGGTTCAAACCCATATCTTGTTAATAGGGGATTTAAGGATTTTTAATCTGGGAAAAATGCAACATTCTCATTAAAGGATTAAATTTTTTAAATGTTGTAAGATGAACGTTTGCATGTAAGCATCAAGATACATTCATTCCAAAAATATTCATTGTACATACATGGAATTAAAACTGTAAATATTGCAAATAAATTAATGATATATATTTAATTGTGTCAATGACAAGGTTTTCTTTGAAATCCTTTGTTTAACCACTGTTGTTCATTCCATTACGCTGCCGACACTTTCTTTACAAAACATAATGAATGAAAAATGAAAATGTCGGCAGAGTGAGGCTACGTTTACATTTGTATCGGATAGCTTTCGTAGCGACGTGAAAAACACCTACCCGTACATTTAAGGAACGCTATTTTCAGAGGAATTATTGCCACAGAGAGATGTTGTTTCGCTCAGCTTCTGAAAGTTGTACATTCCGTATCGGATAGGTGCTTTTTCGCGCGGCTACGGAAAGTTATCCCGCTATATAGTGTAAATGACTTAAAGCCTGGCTTCCATACGGTCGTAAAAATAGAGTACGATCTTTCTCAACGGCCAGTTTATAATAATTTATACCTGTAAACCACATATAAATCATAAGTATTCTTCAGTTGTGATCACGTATTTTCAGTTGCTTCGTGTGACATGCCTCATCCTACATGGCGAAAATACCTTTGTCACTTTAATCCCTCTGGGGAATGCTAATTGGTTGCACACCACTAACGCTTGTTTTAAACCATTCGCCACCATGCTTACAGCTTATTAATTATGCGTACTGAGTGGCCAAGGCATATGTTAACAGATTCCCTCGTGGTTGAAAAGTTTTGACTATAGCGAAGTTTTGCGAAGCAAAATTTGAATTAGATTTCTACCTGTTTTGAAAATGTTGCTGTCACTTGGTGTCAGCAATGGGAGATCAACCAAAGTATTACAGTCAAGAATCGGATCTTTGGAAGCAGAATGTGTTTCTGTCTTTTAATATTTGTACGCCACGATCTTTTAGTGAATAGGTGAGTTAATATAAAAACTTTGTCATACAAAACTTGCTCGTCTGTATCTATGGTCTGTAACCGTCTGCACATGGTGCTACACATCTTCCAACACTGACACAACACGGTTCAAACGAGACCACTGAGCCGTTACATTCATTCAACAACCTTGGATGATGTTGCACCACGGCAACGGCACATCGACCTCGTTGCAATGTCAGTAAGCGTTGTATACATGGTGCTGCAAATGATGGTCAACTAGAAATGTTTAATTGTAGCGAGCAAATGATTTAAATATTTTGATTGCATGTATCGCTTCCAACAAACACAAGATCAATACATATAATGAACAATTCAGTCACTTGGATAATTGTCTTGACTGCACTATCCCACTTCCTAACCTATCTGCACATTTAAATTGTGTAAAGGCTGATTTACAGGAGTTCCAACTTCAGTTGTGCTCACTGCATGATCAGTGGTTGTACTGTGTAAATCAAGCACACGACTAACGACAACCTAGACGAGTTGTGTGATTGACTTACACCGGTACAACTCAAATTGGAGGCAGGTTGCCTGCAACAGTTTTAACAACTAGTTATATGGTATAAATGGGCCTTAAACGTCACAAATATGTCGAGACTGGATAGCATGAAGGGCGCTGGGATTTTTAAGGCAATGGAACATTCCGCTCTCTGGATCCTGACAAGATAATGCACTATTTTTAAGCTAAGTTTATGCAAAAGCCAAAGTTTGACCAAAATGGTTTATGACCATGTATATTCCAGGTGTTTTCTTTATTCATTGACATTGTCTTTTAAATTATAGGCAGGATTCACTAAACATGCATCACTAACTTACAGCAAGACATGGTTAATCAGCAATTCGTACTGATGCATGCAGAGGAAGAAATTAATGTAAGTTCTTTCCTTATACATTTCATATTTTAGTGATTAAACCCAGCTCATGCTTGTCGGGTGAAGACATGAAAACCACAGAACGAGAATATAGAAAGTGTATTTCATTTTATATAATATATACATTATATTGCACAATGAGATACTATATGTTTCTTCACTACAATACATTATACGTTAATATATATTACTATATTTGAAAATCGTCGATACACTACATGCACTTCAACTAGGACTAAAGCTTGGTTTCCATATGGTCGTAAAAATAGAGTCACGATCTTTCTCAACGGCCAGTTTATAATAATTTATACCTGTAAACCACACATAAATCATAAGTATTCTCTAATTATAATCACTCAATTATTTATTCTCTAATTATAATCACTCAATTATTCATTCTCTAATTATAATCACTCAATCAGTTCATTCTCTAGTTATAATCACTCAGTTGTAAAATGTTGTATTTCGGCTGATGAGAAAGAGCGTGACTCAATCTTTACGACCGTTACGACCATATGGAAACCAGGCTTGATAATTTTAAAAACAGGTTTCACTCAGGTGTTCTTCAACCCGATGAAACGAGTGTGAGAGTTGGCAATCTTGGATCTCTATTTAAGTTAAAACATAGTTGGAACAATCATCAAACCTTTATTTTGTTGGGCGCTTTCCATTTAATGGCCTGACTGGTCAGACCCGAATTTTTGTTTCTGTATCAATGGAAAGATCTGGTCTATGTTTCTCAAATATCTAGCCGAAAATGGACCTCATTCAAATTTTATCTAAACTGTCCGGTCAGATAGGTCTAAATTAGCCCAAACGTTTTCTGTTCCATTCAACAATTTCACCGTTCTGACTGGTCTATAGCCGTGTTAATGGAAAGAGCCCTAGAGCTTCGAATGTCCGCTGTAAGAATGTGTGCCTTCCCACTCTCATTCTCGTTTGACCAGGCTTAAGTCTGTTTACACCAGTTTAATTATACTATATAACTTTCACACAAAAATACATGTTCTTTATATTTTAAGCACTACACTGCATATATATTCGCTATACTGTGAAGCCTGGTTCACATTGTCAACGTTTCTGTGATCACAGCAGGAATTTTGCATCGGGAAATTCTAAGTTTTGAAGGATTGTAAGAAACGTTGCGGGAACTAACTCAACATTTAACACTGCCTCAAATCCCTCAAACATTTCTTACAAATCATTCAAAACTTAGAATTTACCCATGCAAAATTCCTACTGCGATCACAGAAACTTTGATAGTGTAAACAAGGCTTAAACACCTGCACAGACATCTTGGCGAAATTGGTACTGTAGTTACAAACCATTACAAAGTACACCATTTGTCCAGCAAATAGTTAGGACTATTGTATACTGTAACTTTTCCCAATCGAGCCTCGGTGTCATGTGGTTACTGAAGAATATTATTTTGTGGTTTTCTTCGCTTCAACATCCAGTGTCACATCCGGTTCAGTGTCTGAAGAGAAGCTTAACTAAATAGAAGGGGAAAATGTTAATTTCATGTCGGGGCGACGCTAGAGTATTTGTGTGTGGTGGGGGGGGGGGGAGTGTTAAACACCAAGACAGTTCCCACAAACATTTCTTACAAATCCTTCAGAGTTTACAACGGCTATACCTTCTCATTACTGCACTGACTGAGCAGCAGCGATTCCTGACTGCCCGGAAAGTCTTTGGACGTGTCCTTCGGAGCACGTCGGAGAACCTCGACAGCGACATCAGGAAGACCAAACTCGCGTACAACACGTTTTCTGACTTCGTGATTGACCGCTCTGCCGTCACCTAAAGTGTGGAGAATATACAAATCTAAACGAACTTTATTTATACTCGATTTCTATGAAGTGATAGTTGATTCGGCCCCATCAACTATCACCACATAGAAATCTTGAGTTCGTAATCTAATTGTCAATTATATTGGCTTACCCAAGGACAAGGCATACGCTCGCTGGGTTTGGTTGTACGATTTCAGTTCCTTCTCTCTACTCAACATTGCTTTGACAGTCGTGGCATCAGGATATGGGAGTTGATTCGCAATCACAGAAGGTGGACCATCTTCGAAGTCTGGTGTACTATACTGGCTGGTAATACTGGTCACCATATCTGGCATGTCAGAATGACGGATCATTCGAAGACGGACAACTTCCATCTCCTCCACCATTCGTTCACGCATGATGGCCTGGAAAGGTAAGATGGAGTGTTGCTTTAGATCCACTCTTGGCGAGTTTCAAGAAATAATTTTTGGTATGTGTAATATTTGGGTCATTCTGAGAAGAAATGTAGTGTATATTTATAGTAAAAAACTTCATCTCGATCAACTTGAACATTGTCAATGTTCCAGGTGAATTTTTGGTACAAAAAAAACAAAGGAAAACTAATTTTCAATTCACCTAATGACATCATATCCGGAAACTCTGACAGTGAAAAAGTTGATCAAGATAGGACTTGATGGGGCTCAAATTTTTCCGGACATACCATTTTTCAAAAACTCCCATTAATGTATCGTAATTTGTCAACTTTTTTCGTAAATTTAGCAAAATTTTTGCTATGACTATTACTTTTTATTCCAAGACACTCAAATATTTTCGCTGACTACGAAAACAATTTGATGAATGGGGGGGAGAGGGGGTGTTACACCCCCACACCCCCTCTAGCTACGCCCTGCCGAACGTATATGCTTCACCTTTGCTTCGTCAACGTAAGCCGCAAACAGTCTTGGCTTCACATATTTTCTGTCATCTTTGACTCGTATCCACGAGGATCTCTGCTGTCGTTCGCCTTCTCCGATGTCTAGTGGCATTTCTTTCTGGAGTAATGCTTGCTGAATGGCTGCCTTGAGCACGCTGCTGTCTTTAGGAAGAATATGTTGTACTCGAATGAGCGCTAGGACGCCGTGAAGAACTTGTTTCAGAGATTTCACATCGATTTCCTTTCGTCGAATACTTCGCTTCAGTGAGCTTGTATAGTGCTCTAGTTTGCCGTCTGTGGGTGGGAAAATTAAGTATTAAAACAGGTTTGAAACTGACTTGGTAAAATAATATCAAGAGATCTTACCTGATGGGTAGATGGTTTTGTACACCTGCGCTTCACCCCACTTAATAACAGCAAGCAACACATCCTGTTCACTGGCCTGCGTAAATATGGAAGAATATGCAGTTTAAAACACAGTTGCAAAAGTGATAAATGGGTTGCCTCTTGATAAAACTTTACAGGAATTTGTATGCTTATTCTTATCTAGGTGGACTATTTTTTCAGATGAGTAGTTACTATAGTTAGGGGCTAGGAACAATACAAATAGAACCAACTACTGTACAAAATATTTGAATTAATAAATTTCCCCCAGTACCTGAAGAAAGTCTGACTTCAATGTTTCAATAACAAACCGCTTTGGCAAATTTAAAAAGACATCCAAATTAACCATATTAAGAAATTCCTCACGTAGATAATGCATAGTCTGTCGATAAACCCAGTGAGAACCATGAGACCTGTCACTCCATTCCAGTGTAGTTAACAGAGACATTGGGGAAAGTTCTTGAATGATAATATCTTCTGCACCTAGAGAAATAATGACTGTCAGCATTATTGTTGTTCTCAGCAGTGAATGACTTGGGTTGTCAGAATGAAGTTGAACTATTTGCAGAGAAATTCATTTGTGAATGTCCCAAACAGGAATCAAACCTAAGAACTCCAATATACAATACGTCAAGTTGGTTGGATTTCTTTTTTAACCCATTGAGCGCCAGCGTTCTAGAATGAATATGACTTGTTGTCCATGGAAAGGTTTGATTCACACTTGGGACATTCTTACACTCTTCTGGAAAGTACGACACTTTGGCTATAGAGCCTCGTTTTCGAGTAATTCGTGTACGTCGCAATCACGAAAACAATGCTCCATATCCAGGTACTTTCCGCAAGCGTGTATTCTTGTGCGTGATTCATACATGCCTTGTTCGAGTGTCGCAAACTCCAGGAACCTTGCAATCTCATAGACTTCCATCGCCACTTCCGGCACTGTTAACAACTTGTGTGGGTCCTCCACACTGCGTTCATCACTGCCCGAGGCCCATCTAATGACAGAGGAAACATCAACACAATCTAGGTACATACACTGCAGTAACACCCTGCCATACTGTCGCGGTATAATCTTCTCATCCAAAACCAGTCTTAATGGCTTAGACAGATCCTTTTCCTTGGACAATTTTGTAAGCAATGAATGAAAAAATGGCGATCGAGCTGCTAGTATTCCTTTATGACATTGCAACTCAAAAGACGAGTCAGCCCCAACTAATTCTTTGTTTTGAGTAACCCCAGCAAAGTTGTCTTGAAATACTAGGGTGACATCGCTAAATTTATTTGTGTTGAGTAAAGCATTCATATCATGTTCAAGCACATTTGGCGTTCCAAACTCCTCTCCTAATTTCATTAAAATTTCCAAGTTATCTAATGCTGTATCAATTGTTGGTACATCACCAGTATATAAATAATGTACCATCATTCGAAATATATCCACAGTTAGCTCAGGGTTGTCAATATTGACACATACCCTATGCCCCGGATTCTTCGCAAGAAGCATTTGAAAGAATGGTGATCGTGAAGATAATATAAATCGATGACAATGAAACTCGATCCCTTGGTATTCCAGTACAACATCAGTGAAACATTGCCCTTTATATAATGCTAGCAGATCTTCCTTTAACGTCCTAACACGTGGCCTTGCTAAGCTTGTTTGAATCGAGAGATCTTTCAAGGCTGACATGGACTCGTACTCCTCAACAAGTGCATTGATTTGGTGCGTATTCCATGATTGAGTCAGTTCTCTTATATGTTTCACATAATTGCGAGTTTTGTGAGAACGATGCCGTGAAAACTTCTTTCGAAGTGTTGCAAACTTTGAGACATTTTTCTTCCCCTCCGAGCGAGTCCTGCTTTGCTTGCGAGGAATGTTTTCCACTGAGCGCGAGCCGTGAAGTGAATTTATACCACCCATGATGAGATACAACTTATTTCAGAATTTACTATATAGGAAGCACTAACTAACACTAGTCAATCATGCTATCTTGAAACTGTTATTAATTTATGTGATTTCAGTAGTTAGTAATAGCTTCTCATAGCAGATAATGTTAGCTGTTCTCTTTGTATTTTTCATACCAACAACTCATTCATCACACAACACAACCTAAAATATAGTATAGACATTGCAATCACTGGACAAAATATTTCAGTTCACCATAGAGGAATGATTGGTCTAGGCAAACCATACACACATGTTATACATTAACCCATTGAGTGGCAATGTGCCCTGATGTGCCCCACTTTATTATTTTACTCTGTCTAACACTAGACAATTTTACTTGTCAGGAGGAGAGTGCTGCCACTCAATGGGTTAACCATTTGAGTGGCAGTGCATGCCCTCCCCCTGATGAGTAAAATCATCTGGTGTTAGACAGAGGAAAATAATAAAGTAGGGTGCATCTGGGCACATTGTCACTTAAAGGGTTAACATGATGCATAGGCAGATAGTCTGATTAACCCAGTGAGTGGCAGCACTCTCCCCATGATGATCAAGTAAAATCATCTGGTGTTAGACAGAGTAAAATAATAAAGTAGGGTGCATCAGTGCACATTGCCACTTAAAGGGTTAACAAAAAGAAATGGTGATTGTGAAGATGATATAAATCGATGACAATGAATCTTGATCCCTTTGAATTCCAGCACAACATCAGTGGAACATTGCCCTTTATTAACCCATTGAGCCGCAATGCACCCTACTTATTTTTTTAATGTTGTTAAAATTTTGCAATGTGCCCTACTTGCCATTGGGGAAGCTCTGCAGCTTAATGGGTCAATGTTAGCAGATCTTCCTTTAACGTCCTAACACGTTGGCCTTGACAAGTAAAATCATCTGGTGTTAGACAGAGTAAAATAATAAAATGGGAAAGATGCATCTCAACCAGATTGAAGGCGAATACTAAGGGTGCCTCTGGCCGCCACAATATATGACTTGTGTCTGATCATATAGCATCCCAATGGTACCACCAGTATGGTAACAATAACAAACAGCAGTGGTATATACAGTAGGAGATACAACTACCTGAACTTCAACAGAACATTTTTTGTACTTTCAGGTAGTTGTATCAGATTATTTGCTGTCAATGGAACATAAAACATACTATGCCCAACAATCCCAACAACAGAAAGTTCTCCAAGCCAGTGGCATAACTACTATGGGCTTGGACCAGGAGAACCCGGGGGCCCCCAACCCCAATGGGGGCCCCCAGACCCAATGGGGGCCCCCAGACCCAATGGGGGCCCCCAGACCCAATGGGGCCCCCCAGACCCAGGCTATAGCCAATACAGTTTTTTGACCATCAGAATTCTGTAAAATCTCTCCCCAAAATCTGGGAAATGGCATTTCAGAGAGTCTAGATTAAAAAATTTTCCGGGTGAGCATGCCCTGAACCCACTACAAAACTCGTGCATATACGGCGCTCGACTTGTGCCTTTGGCACTTCTACTAGGGGAGCCTTCAAAAAGTTTGAACCTGGGGCCCTCTGACATAACGTTACGCCACTGCTCCAAGCCATATATAATGTTCATATCAGTATTTTGTTTTGAAGTCACAATTTAATGAGCATTTAAATTTTCTAGATATTTCTGTATAATAATGGTTATTTCTTCATAGTGTTGACAGATTTAAATTTTTAAAATCACATTTATTACGGCGTCCGCCAAAACACACATAATATGTTTTGTTGACTTATCTTTCTTAGCCAAAATACGATAAAATTATATTAGTATATACAAACATGATTGAATTTTATGTACAAACCTACCTTTTTCTGTGTATAATACACTATTCTTTAAACTTTAATCAATAGTTTCGCTTTAATGTTTAGGACAAGGGTATTAGTAAGATATTTACAACGTTTAGAAGTGCTACTAAGGCGACAAGAAGATTAATACTCACCGACATTAATTTATTTACATGACGAACGCTCGTCTTTCTAGTGACATAAAAAGCAGTTATAACATATTTTCCCCCAATCAAGCAACACATACCATTACACCATTATATAAACCAAAGCATAACCGGGTTTAATCCTTTAAAAACAAACGGAAAGTGAAAAATTTGAACAACAGCTGAAATGTAAGAAATTTTGGAAATTTCTGTTTGACAAGATGACCGAGCAAAATGGAAGCCTGGGTCGTGTAAACAATAAATCAATTTATAATATTTCAATAGTTACAATTAACAAATTTATAGATTTTTGCCCGAAAAATTGAGGTATTTTGACTTAAATTTTTTATGTATTACTGTATATGTGTTCTAGTTAAATATTGCAGGGAATATTCTAACACTAAAAGAGGTTTTATGTCTCCATTTCATATAGTAACGTATGTTGTAATGTAATCCCTACAAATGAAGTCAAACTATGCATATTGATTGGTGCTTTGATAAGAACATGTTCCCATATATAGTCACGGAATACGAGCTGACCAGGGTAATAATTTCAAATCATTTCGTGGTTTCTGCAGCTGTTTTGGGGATTAATCCTATTTTGTGATTGAAAGATAAAATATTTGTGGTTTTTACAAAGAGGAGATTCATTACAGACACAATATCAGGAAAAAAGAATTCATTAACGCATCTGTAATTTCCATGGCAACATTAGTTCACATATTGTAGGCAACTATTGTCTATAGTATTCTTGTTATTGTTAAAAAATGTCATTGAGAAGTAAATGAATTATTACTAGTAAATACATTATATGGTATAACTGTCATAACAGTAATATTCTCTTTAGCACCACCTGACAATGCTGCTTTTATGAGATGCTTACTTATTTCTACAGCTACAAGATCAGTATCATATCTCATTACTAAGTCTCTTAACAACTTTGAAAGTGACCTTTCCTTTTGTTCAATAGGTTGAGTAGAGCTTGTAGTATCTTGTTCATTCATATCAGAGGTGTTTGATGGTAAAGAATCTTGGCCGTTTGAGACACAGTTACATGTTGCATTGTTTATATTCAAACATTGAGAGCATTTGTTTTCATTCAAATTTGCGTGGTTCCCAGTCTCTGAAGCATTAAAGTCATTATTTCCTACTATTTCTCCTTTGTCTAGTTGATTAATTGTATCTGAGGATTCTGTTTTCAAAGAATCTTCACTTTGAATAATATTAATTTTAATAGAATCACTACAATTACTTTTATCAGAATTTACACTATTTCCTGCAGCCCCTAATTTATTTCCTTTCAACCATTCCTTAATTAATAACACCGCTTCATTCTCATTGAAAACCTGCCAAAAACTGCAAGATGCAACCAAAATGATCTGACTATCTGCAAGTGGAACACAACAGACTGCCGGGACATTTATGATACCCGACTTCAGAAGAGGATCACCATGGTTACCCAGGCCCCTTGTCGTCATAGCTACACCATTGACCCACAAGGTTTTAGAGCACTTGTGAATATCACCACTTGCTTTGATTCTATGTTTTTCTTTCTTATTGGCTGGAGTGTGGTCTTCGGTCAGCGTTCGAAACGAATCATCGTCCTTGATCAGGGCTGCTTTAACATTGCCGACATTTGCAACATGGATAGTATTGTCAATAAGCACACATGTGCTTGCTGAACAACCACTCCAACGATTACGGGATGTCTCGTTGGTGCCATGGAGCAACACTTTATCCATATTGTCAAAAGCTTGTTGAAAACCACCCAAAAGTTGGCAATGATCTATATCTTCAATACATTCATTAAAGTTAAAATTGTCGTGTGTTTCTTTCAAAATTTGGTAAAATTGACGAGCACATTGTTTAGCAGCTGTCGGGCCACTGTATCCATCAAACACTGCAAAGTATGTGATTAACCGCCCTTCTGAAAATTCATACATGTAACTATATGCATCTTCCATTACTGACTTCCATTTTTCATTTGTCGACTCACACACCCCTAGAGCAACCCCCTCGTGTAACTTTGCCCTGACTGACCGAATCATGACATCATGATGTTCAATAAAAGATGGTTTAACTTTGTTCGATCGACCACAAATATCTGACTTTATAACCTCGTAAGCTAAATCAATTTTTCCCAGCTCTTTGCGGTAGGCAGAACGACTTATGTTTAAAACTTTATTCAAATCTTTTATTAAGGTTGCACGTTTTCGACTTAATGCTTGTTCATTAGTAGGCTTCGCCTGGAAATCGTACTGGAACAAGGCCAAAGCTTCGTGCAATGTACGATGATCTTGTAAACTCTTCAGGTTAACATAATTGCTACATTTTAGACATAACATTGAGACATTCGTTGCTTGAAATGTCTCAATTTCTTCGTGTTCTGTAATAGGACTGTCAGAAGATTTTATAATTGGCAAAACGTTTTCCGTAGTTGGTGTAGATTTCTCACGATTTTGCAACATTTCTGGTGCGAATGAATCCATAAATTCAGCAGACATTTACAATTTACATTACGTGATTACGGTCAAAGTATTTGATCCGCTTAATTTTAAAACTAATACGTTTCCATGGCATATTTTCCGGGGAGAACTGCTAGCATTCAACATTTTTCCCTGCATCCCCCCCCTTCCCCAAATGCTCACACCCGATTGGCCAAAGTGAAGGTTGACGCGCGGGGGACATGGGTACGAGTGTATTGTTGTCAAGGAAATAAAGAGGAAAACCATTAAGGAATTTGGCGGATTTTTGCGTCGTTTCAAAATTTTACAAACTTTGAAGCAAAACGTGTTGTGAAAATCACGCAAAAATACTCATTTTTTCCACTCAATCGACCTCAAGAATGAATGACAGAAGTAAAGAAAGTGGTAAGGGTAAACGTTTTAAAAAGGACTGCAAAAATACTGGTATTTTGAATGTTTATATTTGTTTGAATTTTACACGTTCACTGGGTGACCCTTTCACAGTTTTACTGTTTATAGTCGACTGCTGCAGCTTATAATTGGTTTGATGCTTCATTTTCAGCCTAGAATTGACTGGAAAATTTTTAAACAATGATAGTTTCTTTGCATAAAGGGGCAAGAATCTTCAATATCTTAAAAATAAGCTCATAGTGTATTTGTAAAAGGAGATCCCAGGTAGATCCTTGCTATTATTTTTTAAGACTATAGAAAGCTGTTAGTTGACATTTAGTGCATTAAACATACGCTAGTGTAAATTTTACCTAACCTGAGTAATCCCTGAATATATATGCCATCAAAAAACATGCTTTAAAATGCTGAAAAATTACAGTCTCCCTCAAAAACAATGCATTACAGCCATTACTCATAGTTCATATGTGCAAGGCAGACTGCTTTCTATCCAGTCTCTGACTGGGCCTTCAGCAACTAAGCAGGCAAGCATTAAGGCATTGATGTGTTTTTGGTAAGCTTTAGGAAATGCTGCATTAAACTACAATTCTGTTCATTTTCTTCCCAGACAAGGCTATCACACATAATAAGAAATTTTCTCTGATAATTTACTGTCGACATGACCATCTGCCACACGATAGTGCTTTTGTCGAAACACATGTAATGTGTAAGCCACTGTGAAACTCCTTGTACATTTCTAATATTTATTTACACAGGTGTTGCACATGACATAAGACCAATGGCTGACCGACCTGTCATTGATCCACCTGTGCTGTCTCAGATAACCTGTTTGGGTGGACCCTCAGATGATACTGACGGCATAAACACTGCCAGAAATAACTTGCAAAGAAAAGATGAAACAAGTTTTGTCAAGTTATGCAGAGAAGGTGGACACAAGGGTACAGTGAAATAAGTAAATTTCATGGGTGAAACTAACTCTATTTGTATTGGATCAGGGCCTGGGATCATGACAGTGTTTTTCAACATATTACTCTTTATAATTGCATAGTATATCTGGCACTGACACCAGCCCTCGAAAACCGTCAAAATTGAGGTCGGCAAAAAAATGCCGACCTATAAAATCTGACCTAGGTCAGCACATCTCGGCATTTTTCAAAATCTGTTTCCTTGTCTTGGAGCACTATAGTAATCACGTATTTATGAATCATTGAAATCGGAATATAAAGCATGCCGCTTACCTAAATTATATAGAATACCCATCAATTTTTAAACCTTACAGCAAAGTGTGTTTAGTTATTTATAATCAAACTACGAATCAAATTCTATAATCACTGACTTTTTAACAGCTATCAGCACCAAAAAATTCTTACTTTGGCTGTATGTATCAAGGAATTTTAAGTGCCTTTATTGCTTGGAGTGGCCCTTTTTAGCTGGGGGGCCAAGGCAAAATGCCCCCCCCCCCCTTGGGTGGGCTGCCTATCTCTTCAAAAAACTAATACTGTTCTCCCTAGAGGTCCAGTAAGGGCCCATCCCTCATTGTGGTAGTCTTACTATGGTATGACCTAAATGAATCCATCTAGGGATGAGCCGATAAGGAAAATTGCCGATTACTGAGGCCGATTATTTATAAGCCGATTATCATAACTAATCGGCCGATTAATCGGTACCCGCCGATTATTTTAAAAAGCAAGCGAAAAATCACAAGATGACCAACAATGAAGCTGTAAATGCGGTTTTATTGTTTACAATACACATTATGTACAATTGAAAACAGCTTCAATCTTGCATGTCAATAGTCAAAGTTTAGTTTTGGCAGATTATGGTGTAAAAACAGGATATTTTCAGCTATGCGGAGCTAGTCTGCTGCGTTTTTCAGTGGATTGAAATGTTCCCAGCTTCACTTTGCTCGAGACAAAAGACACGGGTTTTGCAATAAAATGTGAAAATCTATTCGTTTGTATTCAGTATTTTAGCATGTGCTTGGCAGCTGCAGAAAAAGTCTTATGGCCGATTATCAAGCAATAATCGGCCGATTACCGATTATTTAAAAAACGGCCGATTAATTGGCTTTGCCGATTATTTACCGATTAATCGGCTCATCCCTAAATCCATCTAACCAAGTAGCTGATGCGACTGAGGCAAAAGTTGAATCACATCATTCTTCACTACAAGAATTGTAACAGTGTTCTGATTTGTTTCATTTACACAGGCTTACTTCAAATGGAAGAGCAGGCTCAAAATTCTGAACGTGTTGGTTTTGAAAGGGTTGGAGGAGACTGGTATTATCATGATGGACAATGTAAGACACCTTGAAGAAATATTTCACTATTTTCTGTGAATGTTGCTAGGTTTTGATAAATAAAATTAATCGTGATTATTGTTATAGCAAAAAATGGCAACACAACTGGCAGGTCAAATATTCGAGACACAGATTCTGAGTTTGTTAGACTGTCGAAGCAAGGTGGCCATGAAGGTATTAAATGCTTGTTTGAAGAACAATTACCAGTTGTTCCACTGCTGCATCTGATAAATTGATTACACTGTGTTTTAGGTCTTCTAAAGATAGATTCTGGTAGCAAAAATGATAATCAATTTGTCACCTCCCATGGAAGATGTATGTACATTTTTTTTACTTTGAATTGTTTTTTCAATGAAATTAAACTTTGGTTCCACAGTGGTTTGCAGTCCTTGAAATTTTCAGTGACAAACAGCAATCGTAATCATTGTAATCAGTCCTTATATCCAGGGGTTTTTTCAGGGACTTTTAGGGCTGTAAAACGGTCCCAAAAACCCAATCTTGAATTGAGTTTTGAAACTCGATCTTCTTACTAAAAGTTTCAGTGAAGTAAAAATGAAGTTGTGTGAGTTAAATTCGTGACGTGTGGAAATTAGTTTTCAGTTGGAAACCTGACAATTAAGAAAAAATGGCTGGAATTCATTTCACAACACAAGAAAACAACGCATTCGCTATCTTTAACCAGTTTATAGTGTCCCTTAGTGCCCCTGCTTTAACACATTGCATCTCAACTACACTTTTTGGGTACAGGTGTCAGCCTCCCGTAGCTGCCCCACACCCCAGCTGTTCAGCTAAACTTAATCTTCTCTACAAAAACGGACCCAAGAGAAAATCCTGAAAAACCGTATATCTTATTTTTATCAACTGTGATCTAATACGAAGAAAATATTATCCTAGATATGCGCAAGGAGGAAAGAATGTCGCCATCCAACTGTCCTCCAGCAGGAATGAAACCTGCAGATGTCAATGTCTTCCCTGGCAATCCAATATGGCTGGGAGGTAGTGGTCCAGAGATGGGCTTTGTGCCTGGGAAAAGATTTTCAAAGAAAGAAAATAAAGAGTCTCCTTTTGCTGTGTCTTCAGACTGGATGGGGTAGGTCGTGGCATTCAGAGATTTAAAACCTTTTTGAAGAACCCCTTTATCTCTAACCAATAGTGTTAGCGAGTCCAAATGGTGGATTGTAAGGCATGATATCTCCTGCAGGAGGGCAAATCTGGGAACATTGTTCCATAGCCATGCATGATTTCCGAAAATGGACAAACCAGGAAATATTGTTTCCTAGCCATGTTTCCCGAAGGTTGGCAAACCAGGAAACATTGTCTCCTAGCCATGTTTCTCAAAAGTGAACAGACCAGGAAACATTGTTTCCTCGCCATGTTCTCCAAAGGTGGGCAAACCAGGAAACATTGTTTTCTAGCCAATATTTCCGGAAGGTACTGACTACTGTGGACTTTCCTAAGTAAATTTTAATACTGAATATTTTTTCTTACTAGGACACAATCTCGCAATCCAGACAAGATTTGACCATTGGTACTCGAGGCCACGTCACTTTCACATTACATAATCAGGCCACCTTCATTATTGGCTCTGATTCGTTTTACTAGACATATAAAACTATATCATGTCTGAATATTTGTGTTTTATTATAGCTGTAAAGGTTTATATATTTCCCTAAAATGTGATATGTTGTATTTATTTTATATAAAACTGTCAAGAAAGAGTTGAAATTTTATGTAAAATATGTCAAATATGATATTTATAGTTTTAAAATTAATATATTGAAATACAGTATATAGTGTATTTACCTGTATTTATTTCAGTGCTACAGACTGTAGTGTTATTGTTTTTGCTCTGTTGCTTTTAATCTGACTGATATGGCTGTTCATGATGATTGACGATTGTTTTGACTTTTTTGCTCATTTTTTTGCTCGTTATTGTAGTGCTATTTGTGTGTAGGCGAACCAGCCTGCATACCTGAGCTAACTCGTTTTTACATAGCTGGCTTGCGAAAAGACACTTTGGCAGCGAACATTTACCTGTGCAGTAGAATCCACTTTTGCGAGCAAGTTTGACTCTGATAACCCACCGAAATTTTTCAGGATCGAGATCTGTAAAAAAAAGTCATTTTAATATAATAGAGCATTACCACTCTCTCCAGTAGGCGCGAGCGAGTTCCAGTCAGCATTTAAATGAAAAATACGTAATCCAAGACAATGCAAAACGAGATCTCTGTCAGGCTGGCCTCTGGGCAGTCTCCTGACATCGTACTGCCCGCAGGTCATTGGTTAACCTGCCCAGCGTGGGTACCATATCTGAACCTAAGACTGCGTTCAGACCGAGTGCTCGGCACTGGTGCCCAATATTTAAACTGGTTTCCAAAACATGTTGAGCACAATGCCATTGTTGAGTACTACCTCTAGAAGTAGTGCCCTTTCTTGGGCACTGTGGCCAATTTCATTTGGAAGCATCGTGTTCAAACTAGGATGAAATTTAGAGAAATATGATAACCAATGACAAAGGTAGGAGGGCGAGTGGGTTCCGTGTTTGATCACTTGTCTCCGGATGGAGGAAATTTTAAACCTACGTCGATGCAAAACAATTATTATGTCATTGTTGGCTTACTATTGCCAAATATTGAACGTATAATCCTTTAACTATCATGAAGTGTGTTGAACTGGCAGAAACCTCTGCCAAAACAATGTCAAATGGTGTCTCCAAAGAAATTGTATGTGCAGACAACATGAAACTTTAGACTGCAGAAAATTGCACAAGCGGTTATCAAACTCGTGTCACAGAAGTGGTAAAGGATATGTGTGACAACTGAATGGTATCCTTTTGTGACGTTTTTTGGACTTATCTTTTACTTTTTAATGGTTGGATAAACAACAGTTTTAACCAAGAGAAACATTTCTCTTCGTTGCCACCCCCCCCCTCCCCCCCTCCCGCCATAAATAATGAGCGGTCCCTTAGATATCTTTTTCACTCTGCTTTCTTGCTCCCTGAAGACTCTACAGTATTTTAGAGTGTTTTTGTGTTCAATTCGTGCACCATTCTCGTACCCAGAGCCCTTCTTACGCGCGGTGCGACGAGGGGCTCTGGCCAAAGAAGGGCTCTGGGTACGAGAATGTTCGTGCACCACCTGAACATAAAGAACAAATTCCAAACGTTGAGTTTGTTCTCATTTTATTCCATCCGCAAAATGCAGCATTTTGATTGGTTGTTGCCAGGCGTTCGGAAACCAACAGTGCATGGACCGTTCGCAACGAAAACGTTTTCAAAATAACTCTGTTCCCAGTCAAAAAACAGTATAAATATGTGACCATGGTAAGTATTTTACATAAAATAGCATACTATTTTACTTTCGTTTGTGTTAAAACGCTGTTTATATGCAGATAAACGCTTTTTAGAACATTTTAAGTTAAATAGATACTTATACTTGCCGCCATTTCATGAACGCGGGCTTTTTTTCGAACTATAAAGAAAGTAAAACTGCACTCGGAAAACTGCCCTGTTTTTTAATTTTATTATATTAAAGAGCCGAAGATCATACTGTTATCGTTTTTTTCAAGATAGTGAATGTTTACAGAAATTTAAAACCGAGTAACTCGGTCAGTGGGTCTATGTTTTTAAATGTTCAAAATTGTCGTTTTTGGAAGCAATTACGTGAATGCTGGCTACGGCTCGGTTCATATTAGAATATTAGACCATACAAAAGCTGTAGCGACGTGTCTTACAAATATTTTTTGCAACACTAATCTTTTAACAATGTCGTTCATATGGCTTTTAATAATTACAAACTTTTTGCTTTGATAACGTTATTTTTCTTTATTGTGAAACCAAAACATTGGTAAAGTTAATTACTAATTAGCCAACCACAGTCACCGACGCATGCGCAGGCTAACCTTATTTTAATCACATGACATTTATAAAACTTGCATGCATGGTTAGTATATAATACCAAGGGCAAGGCTTATGGTTTGTTTTAAAAACATTTACCCAGTATTTTTTTCCCTACAGTAAAACCGCTTTTAAATTGAGACATGTTAGAGCTATTGTTGCCTTGGCGCAACATATTAATATTTAAAAACAACCTGCCTCAAAATAACACCATTTCCAAACAAATTTTCACCAAATTATCCGCAATATCATTTAAGATTCATTTGACATTTGTCAGATTTCTTGTTGGCTGCATTGAAAATATCGATCGCATATATCATGTTGTTTTTGTGATTTTCGCAGGAAACAGTTACTGTTCATTTTTAAAAGATTGAAGTCTGTTAAGATCTGGTGATGCCGATGGCTTAAACTGTTAAAGAAAGAAAGTTGTGGCTGTTGGCTGACTGGCATCTTCGCCCCGCAGGTAACTATGACATATGCCATTGCGTTTGGAAAGTTAATATATAGTAGTAACTTACGTAAGCATAGCTGTAACTAAGTAGTATATATATAATTATGTGTATAAGACATAAGTTAATACTAGAATAGATTTGCAGGGGCTTGTTGTACGAAAGCCGTATACTGACGCTATCCGCAGGATAGTGATTCTTTCCAGCTCTCTTAAATTGGCCGTTTACTGGTACAACCCAGATTAATTAAACTTTCCTTTTATTACAGTCATTGTTCGACTCATATTCACAGTTTTATCACTTTTCAAGCTTTACAACGGTTGAAAAAATCACTATTCTTGTTAGAAGGTTGATGATGGTAACAATACAAGGTGCTACGAGCTTGTTGTCATCAACTTGTTAACAACTTGTTTCGTGCAGACGATATCAGACTTGTTAAAACAACTTGTCACGAATCTGTTGGCCTCATATATCAAAGTTTATTCTAGATTTGTCAACAACTAGGAGCAAGCGGTGCGAACAGGCATCTTGTTGACAAACTGCGAGGTTTTAACATACAGCATTCTTCTCACATTAGCGGAACCTGCTAACTTGGCTAAGTAGGTATACGCAGGTGACCAGGTACAATTTTCCTTTTTCAAATGCAAAATTTTCCCAATATATTTGCAAAACAGAAATTAACAATTCAACACGACTTAGTGGACCTATTCCCTAATGAACAAAATTTTGATCTCAACAAGTCTAGACAAAAATTTTATCACAGCTTGAAAGAGCATCACAAAATTAGTAATATTCCGAAGTTTCCGGCGTTGCGAAATGTTGTAAAATGCGGATAATATAGCCTTGCGAAGTTTGCCGTTTCTCAGTCATTTTGTATTACGCACGGGAAATTGATAATTTTGTGACCCTCTGTCAAGCTGTGATAAAATGTTTGTCTAGTCTTGTCTAGATCAAAATTTTGTTCATTAGGGAATAGGTCCGTTGCCAGTTGGTTCTCCCGGGTCAATGGAGGATGAGAGTTGATGAGAATTGGTTACCTTTGTTCTTAAGTCGATAAAACTGTTGTTAATTAACAAGATTTTTGTTCTAGGCAAATCGAAAGTATCAAACTATGGCTATCAAAATGATGATACTTTTCGTGATATTCAACAGTTGCTGTTCAGCAAATTATCAAGAAGAAAGATCTCAGGACCGATATGGATCCGATCTAACAAGTAATAATGATCTAAGAATCGAGATTTGTATTTAATTTAAGAATATAAAAGATAAGACCTTCTCCCATAACACTCACCACTTTCGCCCCCTCCTATCCTTCTCTCCCTCACCAACTTCCCCAACCCCCTCCTCCCCATGAGAGTTGGCAAACTCGCGACCTTGGCTAGTTGTTAATGCTTTCCCAACACTATCATATATTTGAAGTCAAAACATAGTTGAAACCTGACTCACCAAACCTTTATTTTGTTAATCTTCAGTCCGGCCTTGTTTGACCGGCCGTAAATCTTTCCATTATTCTATTTTTTTAAAGAAAATTTTGCGTTTGGTCGACCTACTAGCCAGTCTAGTACGTTCAACAATGGCCACGCCTCGCGGCTTACCGATGGTAACACTAATCCATACTTCGGGAACAACAGTTGCTCTGAAACAGATGTAGGAAATGATGTTTCATGGGAGGTAACATTTCAAACCAAAATCTACATCACTTCTGTGACGATTACGACCAGAGCAGACCCTTACTGGATGTACTCGGATTATTTTGAAATCAAACTAAAAAATGAAACGTCGGAGTTTCCTTCGCCGTGTGCAACTGGTATCCTCGCCAACAATGGCGAGGTAAAGACGTACGCGTGTCACACGCCTTATCAAGTTACGGCGATCAGAATTGTTCTCCCTGGAATTGAAAAAAGATTGTCTTTGTGTGAGGTGGAAGTTCACGGCCGAGAATTCGATTTTTTTGAAAACGAAGGTATAATTACGCTGTTTGTTCTCTCAGCATTATCTTTATGTATAGGTTATAAACTTGGAATATAAGTTATAGATTGACGCGAGGGCTTTCAGTCCCCGAGATATATGATTTATAACCCAAGTTGGAGGTTTATAACTGACTTAATTATTTAAAAGTTGAGGAAGTTTTTGAACAAGGTTTCATCAATTTCAAAAGCTTTCGATCAAGATTTTCGAGTTTTGTCGACTAGTTTAACCCCGCAAAACGGCCCTATCTCAACTACGAGTTAGGTTTTGAAACTCACTGTTCTCACCAAAAGTTCCAATGCAGTGAAAATGAAGTTGTTTGAACGCGTGGAAATTAGTTTTCGGTTTGAAACCCGACAATTAAGAAAAAATGGCTGGAATTCATTTCACAACACAAGAAAAACTACTCATTCGTCATCTTTAACCAGTTTATAGTGTCCCTTAGTGCCCCTGCTTTAAAACATTGCATCTCAACTACATTTATTGAGTATACTATAGGTGTCAGCCTAACATTGGGGGGATGGGGGGAGACAGCCGCCCCAGACCCCCAGCTGTTCAGCTAAACTCAATCTTCCCTGCAAAAACAGGCCCAAGAGAAAATCCTGAAACTACTATGCAATGTAGTATTTTTCCAAAGGACATATGTAATCTTGTTTAATTAGTTTAAATTCCCAGCAGCCACGACATATTAATATAATTTTTTTCTCCCCAGTTAACTACGCTCTACGACAACCAGCGAAAGAGTCCTCCAATTATGACAGCAGTGTGATGGCCTCTGTTGCTGTGGACGGTAACAGAGACCCTGCTTGGCCGCAATGCACACATACCTCGCCTTCACAGACCTCACGCCATTGGTGGAAAGTAGATATGGGCAAGAGCACCCTGGTTTATGCAGTCACTGTTACAAACAGAAATACCGAAGGATACAGGTTAGGTGACTTTGAAATATTTATCAGTTCGAGTGAGAACCTAGTGGAAGAACAAGGCCCAACCTGTGATGGACGACATGGCGTTGACGAAGGAGCAACTCGCACGTTTTTTTGTAAACAGCCGCTTAGAGGACGATATGTTGCAGTCGTGTCCCGTTTACAGGACGTTTTAACCGTCTGTGAAGTTTCTGTGCAGGGATGGGAAGATGGTATGACGTCGACCTACACCCTTTACTCGCTGCCTTTGGCAGATTTGGTTAATTGTAGGTTATCATTTGGTAACGATGACGTCACAGACACCTTGCTTTCATCTCACATGTGACGTCATACTTGCTAGTCCAAAACTGCCAAAGCCAGCCGAGGTTAAATTCTCCCTTACTGGAATAGGGAGAACAGTTTAGAACTGATAAAGCTATCTAGTATAAATAAAATTAATTTACCTGTAGTAACATAGGATCAATAAGAGATAACTCTTGCTAAACTTCTAGAAAGAACAGTAGCTTAGAAATAGTAGAGATATCCAGTACAAGAGATATCAGTGGTTTCCTCCTGTAGTAACACTGGTCACTAGATCAATAAGAGATTACCTTACTGGACCTCAAGGAAGAACAATTTAGAACTAATAGAGCTATCCAGTATAAATAGAGTTAGTTTAGTAAGTTATAGTTTAAATAAAGTTATAGTTAGTAAGTTAGTTTAGTAAGTTATAAATAAAACTGATAAACTGTGACCCTCGATTGAACTATTTAGTATAAATAACATTAGTTTAGTTTAGTTTAGTTTAGTTTAGTTTAGTTTAGTTTAGTTTAGTTTAAAATTTTCCTTCTACAAATCTCTTCAAAAACAATGAAATGGTGATTTGGGACTAGCACCTTGCGATCAATATATCCTACCAAGCAAGTCTTTTAAGTCTTTCCGTTTTTTCCGTCTCTAGAATGCATCGCTCCACGTCCGTTGGGTATGGAAGGTAGTCGTATTTTGGATTCCCAGATTTCGTCATCTTCCGTCCATACTCCTGTACGTTATGACGCGCAAAATGGAAGACTTAACTATAACCGTTGGGATGATCGAGTAGCTTGCTGGATACCCGGCAATAATGATGGAAACGCCTGGCTACAGGTTGATTTTCTATGGATTGTCTCTGTGACTCAAATCTGGACCCAAGGCCGTGGTACAACAGATCATTCCCCATTATGGACGAAAACGTACAAGCTTTCTTATGGAGGAAATGGGGTGGACTTTCTGTTTTATACCGAAAATGGAGTAGATAAGGTTAGCTAATCAGTGGTGTAGAACTGAAATGATGACAAGGGGGGCCTCTTTCAGGGGGAGGGGGGTGACAAGACATGGGGGGCTGCAACATGATCAACTAGTGTTTTTTGAAGAAAGGACTTAACTTCTAATAAAGATTCCGATACACCGAAGCTATTTCATATTGGAGCCACATACATGACGTAATAGTATGATCATAGTGATCAAGTACAGATTACTAACACCATTACCACATCGTTTCGACAGTACCGTTGCAAAAAATTTCCAGGTTAAGAACATGCAATCTGCAATAATATTGAGAGGTCAGGCCCCCAAATCAGCATGAAATGTTTGACAAAAGAGTCTTAGAGAAAATGGGAAGATTGCTAGTTGAACTTGATTCCTGCCAGACTACAGATGTGAATTAACTGGAAAAATTTTTGAAAATCCATAAAAGGTCATAGAATGGACATTGTATGGACCTTCGTTGGAAATAGAATGGATTTTGATTATCCATAATAATTGTATATTTCCATAGTATGAATATAATATGGAAATACTATGGATTTAGTGGTACAATTGCCAATTTTGTAGTATGGATTTTCCCAGTGATTGGGTATAGACAAACGCTGATCGAGTGGAAATTTGTTTATGGGGAATGAATCTTACTAAACCTGGAAGTAGGGAGAACAGTTTAGAACTGATAGAAAGGTCCAGTATAAATAAAATTGTTTTGTTTTATTTGTCAACTGTACTTTAATTTAATCTTTTATATATAGATATTTAAGGGAAACTGGGATTCAAATTCAATTTCCCGTAATTTCTTGTCGCCAAGCATTGTAGCACGTTTTGTCCGCGTTCATCCACTGGAAAATGAAAGGTATCGCGCAATGAGGGTGGAATTTGTTGGTTGTTATTCTGGAGACGAAGGTACAGTATTGATTGTTTTTATCCTGGAGACGCATTATGCGTCTGGACGAACTAGGGCAAGCATGCACTGTTCGTCTGGTTAATATGCATCTTCAGTATAAAGACGGGCACAAGATGCATTATGCGTCTAGAAGAACTAACTTCGACGCACAATCGCCGCACGCTTCGACGCACAATCGATGATAGTTCGTCTAAACGCATAACGCGTCTTTCCACTGAAGACGCATGATAACAAAGATAGCTAGGATCAGGGTACTATTAATATAGGTAATTACACGAGAAGGAGTGCAATGGACCATTCCCCAATTGACCAAAATTTTGATCTCAACAATTCTAGACAAAAATTTCATCACAGCTTGAAAGAGCATCACAAAATTAGTAATATTCCAAAGTTTCGTTACAAAATGTTGTAAAATGCGGATAATATGGCCTTGCGAAGTTTGCAATTAATTTTCAGTCACATTTTAGATTACAAACGGGAAACGGTTACCACTTTTTTGCGTAATTTAAAATGACTGAAAATCACAAACTTCGCAAGGCTATATTATCCGCATTTTACAACGTTTTGCAACGAAACTTTGGAATATTACTAATTTTGTTATGCTCTTTCAAGCTGTGATGAAATTTTTGTGTAGGCTAGTTAATATAAAAATTTTGGAAAAGTGGTAACCATTTCTCGTTTGTAATCTAAAATGACTGAAAATTGCAAATTTCGCAAGGCTATATTATCCGCATTTTACAACATTTCGCAACGAAACTTTGAAATATTACTAATTTTGTGATGCTTTTTCATGCTATGATGGAATTTTGTCTAGACTTGTTGAGATCAAAATTTTGGTTAATTGGGGAATGGTCCATTAATGTAGCTTCCTCCGCAAGCATCTCGTGGTACTTACCTAAAATCGATTAGGTAACCCAATAAGAACATCAGTTATTTGAATAACTAAAAATGATATAAGTTCTCGACGATTAAGAGATGCCTGCGGAGGAGGCTGCAATTAATGATTACACTACGAGTGATTCTTACGAGCAGCCAGGGCGAGTGCAATTTGACAAACTTCAAAAATCACAAATAGTTTTAATCATTGATTGCACGGCCTGCCCGTATGATTAATTTATTTATTATTTTTATCAGCTTTATTGGACATAAAAATTATAGATTACAAGGTGTACGTCCAATAAGGCTAGTTCAAACGGGAAAACAAGACCATATATATACATGAGAAAATTATAGCTTTTCCTATTCCAGATAATTTTCCGTTTTAACAGGCCGTGTTTTTTGTGTATTTTCATTTTCTGCTTTTGTTTCGAGTAAGTGAATTGTTTCAAGCAAGCGAATTGTAGACTCGTTTGTATTTACAAAGCAAGCCGCCATTTCGCTTTTTTCAAATCATTGAATGCACTCCTGGTGAGAGCAATTAATGAAAAAATTGCACTCCTCTTAACCAATAATTTTGTCATGTATATAATAAATATGGAAATTGAACTTTTGCTAATCCTAGGTTATAGACGAGCAAAACCTCTGGGTATGGAAAATTATGAAATAACTGAAACTCAGTTGACGGTTTCATCCTATCACCAAAATGGGTGGAAGAAAGGCTATGGCAGATTGAACTTTTATCATCAGTCTCGTGGTGCATGGTTGCCTGCAGGATCTGACCCAGAGAAATGGCTCGAAGTGGATTTTATTCTCATAGCCACCATTGTCGAAATTTGGACACAAGGGTGTAAGTCGGGTAGCAGCCATTGGTATACGAAGACGTATGAGGTGCATTATGGGTATGAACGCGAGTTCTTTCAAGCTTATAGTGAAGAAAGTACAACAAAGGTAATGACAAAACCGTTTCTAGGGGGTGTCTGTACACAGAAATTTTCGCCACTGATCTAAATAAAGAAATGGATAGGTCAGGGGCAGGTTGTATAAAAAAGTGATTAAAGTTAACTATAATTAAGTGCAAACGTCATCCAATAAGAAGCGCGTATTTGAAAGTTAATCACTATTTAACTACAAAATAGTGATTAAAAAAGTGATTAAGAGTTTTATAGAACCGGCCCAGGCCATTATTTACTTGTACTTCTAAGAAACAAACTCTATCAATCACTGTAGGCTTTCTCTAGTAACCCTACTCTTCTGTAGTAGCATTAACCCAATGAAGAATTGTATAATCTATTGAGAGAACAGTTTAAGACTGATAGACACTGTTCATCATCAATAAAGTTAGTTCAGTTTTAGGGTCCTCCTTTAGTAAACGGTCAGTTATCGAGCCCGAGAAAGATAAAATGTGGAGTACCGCAGGGTCTATCTTGGGTCCCTTATTATTTCTATTATACATAAACGATATGCCTGACTCCTTAAAATATTCAATTCCATCCCTCTACGTAGATGACACAGAAATTTATCTATCGATCTTCTAAAAATTGCAATGACATTGTTTATTAAAATAAACCTTGATCTTGAAAATATTCGAAAATGGATGCTACAAAATAAGCGCCAAATTCATCCTAAAAATCGAAATATATACTCATTGGATCAGCGTATAATATTAAACATAAGGTATCTGGTAACCCTATTCTCGTTAATAACGTTCCAATACCTAGGAATGAAAATTATATTTGCCTTGGTGTCAACGTGGACGAAAGATTGACCTGGGAAAAACATATTGATATGATAAGTTCAAAAGTCAGTATTGGGGCTATAAGACGTATTAGGCCTTTCGTATCGTTTGCGACACTAAAATTGACCTACAATGCCATTGTGCAGCCCTACTTTGATTACTGCAGCCCTCTCTGGGACAACTGTGGAATGGGCCTCAAGGACAGGTTGCAGAAATTTCAAAATCGGGCCGCAAGAGTACTTTCTGGTGCAACTTACAAAGTTCGGTCGGTTGATTTACTCGAAAGTCTGGGTTGGAAACACCTAGAAGTAAAGCGAATGACTGAAATCTGTTTTTATGTATAAAATTCTGAATAACCACACCGCAATAAATCTAAGACTGAACATCCTTTCGATTGAATAATGAAATAGAAAAACCGATTTGTCTCTTCCTAAACCGAATACCGATTTTGGCAAAAGATACTTCAAATATAACTGAGCTATAGCATGGAATGAGGTGAAAGTAGAGGGATCTTTAAGTTCTTTTCGAAGATCTTTTTTATTAAAATCAGGCAAACACTTAAGATTGGCTCGTCCCGTTGCCTATAGAGCAATTCCTTCTTTCTTTGTTTTTGTATTTTTGTATAGTCTAGTAATGGTGTTTATCTGTACATTCTAAAATCACGCCCCTCATGGAAATCAGCTCTGTGTTGTTGAGGCTAGCGTGCATATAAATAAATTTTTGTATGTACACACATGTGAGATCTTTACGCCTTTATATGTATGTATATGTACACATGTGGAAGAACAGTTTTAATAGAACTGAGAAAACTATCCAAAGTACTGTAAATAAAGTTAGTTGCAGTTTCTTCCTGTAGTGACAATACGGGACATGGTATTACCGGACCTTTAGAGAAAATAGTTTAGAACTGATGGAGGTATTCACGAGTTAATATATATATATTCTTATGTATTCAAAGCTTTTTCCTGGAAATCTTGATGCGAATACTGCAGTTGGTAACTGGCTGTCTCCAGCAATTGTGGCTCGATTTATCCGAATTTATCCAAAAACCAAGCAAGGCTACTCTGTCTTACGAGTAGAGTTCACGGGATTTTACAAAGGTATTCCTTAAATGACGTTTTTCCTAAATCGTGCACCGTGACTTATTAATGGTGAACACCATGCATGGTAACTACACGCGTATAAATCTCACATCTTGTTGCAAGTCTGCTAACAAGCCGTCAACAAGTTGTGTTCGCACTGTTTGTCTCAAGTTGTCAACAAATTTAGAACAAGCTGTAAACAACTTGTAACAACCTTGTTGATATTATCAGACTTGTTACAAGGTTTTTCCAATAGGTTATAGGTCTGATACAGTCATGATATGACAATATTGTTACAACCTTGTGTCGTCAACCTTGTAACATTCTTATTATATCATGACTGTATCAGACTTCTTTGAACAACCTTGTAACAAGTCTGATAATGCCATAAAGCTTGTTGCAAGTTGTTAACAGCCTGTTCCAAACTTGTTACAACAACTGGGAACAAGCAGTGCGAACACAACTTGTTGACAGCTTGTGAACATATTTGTAACAACTTGTTTGCAGACCTGTAACAACTTGTGCGTTTTTACGTGTGTAATCTCTTTTGTGCTTCTTCATATTTGGCAGGTTTTTGCATACTGTTATGTACTACACCGTTTGTTACTCATAACGATAAAATGAGCTACCATGCATGTGTATGATCCAGCGACCAATAAAACGTAGAGATATGCAAGTGGACGGATTTGACAGCGAATTGCATGAAACGCGTATTCAATACAAAAATTTGAATATGCATAATCATTCGTTATCGTCTAAAGGTATTCAACGTCAAGAAATAAGCATACAATAGCATGTATATGGGGAACCATACAAATCTAGAGATTAGACATCAGAGTCAATAATGCATGATTCTAATGAAAACGTTGTTTATTAATATTGTTAAGCACAGTGGCGTAGCCAGACCTTCATTTTTGGGGGGGGCGAAACGAACGCCGAAGGCGCGAGACCATCTAGGGGGGTCCGGGGGCATGCACCCCGGCGGGAAAATTTTGAAATCTAGAGTCCCTGAAATGCGATTTCAAGCATTTTGGGGGTAAAATCTTGCAGAATTCCGAAGATTATAAAGTACATTGAAGACATAAATGTTCCCAGACATTTCTAATTTTCTACTCGGAATTAAATAAATTGGAAAAGTCACCTTGAAAAACAGGCATTTAAATCATTCTAGGTTCTATTAGACAGCATTTTCGCATTCTCAAAATTTCGTTGCTTTTTTATACGATACAGAATAAGTCTGAGAAGAATATTCATGCTATGATAATGCATACATGTAAATCTAAACTAAATGTATTCTTCTTGGAACCATATCTACAACTGCTTTAACGAGATTTTACAAATCAAGTTCCTCCAGTATATCGTCGTTTTCCTCAGTCGAGACGTACTTAATCAGTTTCAGCTTCGACGATGTAACGCGTACCCCCCCCCCCACACACACACAATTTCTCTACGGATTTAGCCTTTTTCAGAGAATGTTTTTTTTGCGATTGGGGGGCGACCGCCCCCCCTCGCCCCCCCTTGGCTACGCCACTGGTTAAGCACCAACAGGCGAACAATAAATGAATGTATAATCATTACAATGGTCTTAATTGCCAACTGTGTGTTTCTAATAACAATAGAATTCTTATCAAGTTCATTTAACACCGATATCTTTTCAACTAAATACTACCTATAATTGGCATGAATGTGATGGAATATTCCTAACACCCCGGTGTATAGAGGCATGAAAGGGCTTGCGCACTTTGTTTAACAATAAGCAGTCTCACACAAACAAAAAATATGGAACATGGTTTGTGTGTATCTGTAGATTACTGTATACATACAATGTGTAGGTATATGGACATGTTCAGGCATACATAATAGAATCGCACAAGAACACAGACACCGGAATTCAGCGTTTGACGGGTGATAGAAACACGGCAAGAAATCGACGACTGCTTTAGGAAGAGTTTCGAACCCATCTCCTAGATGCCTTACAGCGAAACATTGGTACAACAAATGCAGC